GTACACATGCACACAGAGACACACATGTGATGCACAATGACTATCTCATGGTGTGTTAGTGATAATTTATGTGTTGTCTTCCTATAAGGCACTGAGTTTCACTGACCTTCCTTCTTTGGAACCTTTTTCACATTTTCTGTTGGTCCCCAGGGGAGCTTTAAGGAGAACTATACTCTGTTAATTTGCCCCAAATTGTATAGCAAGTAATTATAAAAATAGTAATTAGGAAACATTTTCTATGAATTAGGGACCTTGTTAAGAGATCTATATGGATTATTTCACTTAATTCACATTTAATGATAGGGAACTGAACTCAGAGCAATTTGATAACTTGTTTAGCATTACATATAGGGCACTGGGTGTTATGACTGTGTTTACAGTTGAGCTCAGGGATTAGTTGGACCTGAGTTAGCACCAAGGTACTCCCTCCTCATTCCCATTCTCCTTCTGCTGAACTATCTCATCCTTTACAGTTCCTGGTTCAGCATGAGCCGCTTCAAAGATGCTAAATAAACATTGACTGATTGAACAGCTAGTGTCTCTGTATCATTCAAAGTCTTTTATTGATTCCTCATTTAACACTATGTTCTTCATGGAAGCTAAGAAATTTGCAGCAAATTTGGAAACAGCATAAATTCAGAAACTGGACATTAGATAAAACGGAATCCAGCATTTAAAATGATGTCAGCAAAAGCCCTATTGTAACATGGAGAAATATTATTTAATATATTTTCACTGACAATAAAACTATGATTTGGGCTAACTTAAATTATACTCACATGTTAAAAGTTATTGATTCTGAGTGGAGGAATCACAGCTATTATTATTTTTGTTTGTTTTATGTGAATACAAAATGGGTTACATTTTTATAATTAGTAGAAAACTTTGTTTTAAAGAAGTATGCAGGGAGCCAATAGTCCATGTGAAATTCTAGTAAGGTCTAACAAATAGAATGAGATGATGGTCTCTTATGCACACCTAATTGCATAGGAAAATTCTGATTAATTTTATTGGTCTCCATCTAAGTCAAACCCTTTAATGCATAACAACTGCAAATTTTTAGGACACCAAAATTTAGGTTGCAAGGAAATGTGATTTCTGACTAGGCATGACTGAAGTCTACATTTATACCTTTAGCAACTGATTTCTCTAACCAGTTTATAGAGTTGCTTACCCTTTTGCAAAGGAAATATTACAGTTCTTATTGATAAAGGAATCAACGGTTTGAGGACTTTTTCAGGAAGTTGCTTGTATTTATGTAATTCTTTAAGTCTCTAGGTTGGAATATTTACATAAAAGTGTTATGCCCATTTAGTAGTTATGAGTTCATATCTTTTCAGGAGAATTTAAACAACCTATATCAAAGATGTATTCCTAGCTCATTGAATTTCCTTATGCGTGTTTTTAAGAAGTGCTCTAGCATATTAGAAAGAGCTTGGATTTCAGAGTCAGAACTGAATTATCACACTGTAGTCTCTGTAAAACCCAGGGAGGAAATATGCCTAGGGAATAAAAGCCAAACACAGTGCACACATTGTTTTATTACCAAGAGGTAGATATCATATTTACTTTGATTTCAAAAACAACTATTTTACTTGAGTTAATATTTCAGGTTACTGAAGGATGCTTAACTTGCAGGTACTACAGGTACTAAAATTATTTAAATGTACAGGATGTTTCCAATTATTGTAAGCCTCCTTGCTATACTGAATAAAGAATAATGAATTTAATTTATCTTTTCCAAATGGTACACAGTCATTGCTTCTCTGCCTTTTGGGTAAGCTCAAGTGAAATACCAAATGATACACGATCAGTATTAGTTGCTGGATACTTTAAGTTATAGTAACACAGTCCCTCATGGACTTCTGAAGTACTTATAATCCTTTGGTGAGCTAGGTCCTAACACTCGGAAATGTCCATGTTTTTATGTCTGATTTTCAGCCTCCTTTGGCCTCATCACTTGGCCTTACCACTTAACATAGACTATTACCAGCATCTGCTGTTGACCAGGTATCTCATACCAGGCATCTCTACCCATTAATCTGCTATTGGCTGGGAACATAAAGGTGGCAATTAAATTCTGAATGAAGAACTTGGCATTCTATTGATATATAGTAACCTTCATCTAGTTAAATGTATGAACCTTAGCCTTAGAATATCTATCATGATTTGTGTGTGTGTGTGTGTGTTATGTTCATGCAAAAATATGACTAATATTTTGTTCTTGATGATGTTTCAATTAGATGAGGTCATTCAGTAATGTGAACTTCCAATTAATGGTACTTTACTAAACATTCTCATGGCAGCATATGTTTTCATGATAATGTGTTAGGGTCATTTTTAATATTTCAAAGAGAATTTTGAAAGTAGCCATCTGTATTTATAATATAGTGTTCAATATTTGCTCTTTGGTGCAACCAGACTCAGGTTGTATATATGTATATATAGACATATATAATAACTATATAATAACTACACATATATAACTATGTAGTTGTGTGAGTGTCTATATATATATATATACATATACCTATATATAGCTATATACCTAAATATATCTATATACCTATATAGTGTGTGTTATAGTTAATATGTGTGTGTATAGTTATATATGTGTGTATATATAGCTATATATGTGTGTGTGTATGTGTATATACCTATATACATACACCTATATATAGCTATATATATCTATATAGTGTGTTATATATGTGTGTATATATACATATACATATATACACACACACATAGTTATTTTTCCATGGTATTATTTTTTTTTGGCAGCCCAATGAAGACATCTCTCTTTTAGATGGCCAGCTTCATGAGGGCAGTAACTGGACCTCTTTCCCTCTTGTATCTCTAGTAATGATGTGTGTCATGGAGTAATTTAAATATGCCAGTGTCTTTGGTTCGTCTCCAGATGGGTGAATCTGATTTCTCTGAAGTAAGGCCCAGTTACCTTCTACTTTAAAAACAATGCCCAATTTATTCTTTCATGTAGACAAAGAGGAGAAAGACTATTCTAGCAACTAGTGTAGCTGCCACTATATGCCAAGTGCTTACTTAGTACATGCTTTGGAATAAACCTGTGACTCATAACAAACTATTCAAATAAAATTTATTTACAAATTCTTTTCAGTTTGGGATCAAATTACAAAAAAATCTGCAATTTTTCTTACATTTATTTTATGTGGTATTTTATAGAGAATGGGAAATTTATAATAGGGAATAGTGATTAAACGCATTCCTTTTTCAAATTGATATGCCCTATATTCGAGTCTTCAGACTTAAGTTATTTCATTGTCTTACAGGTGCCATGAGAAATATAGCTCTATCAAACAAAGGGTCAGATGAAACCTAACCAGAAACAAACCCTAGAAATCATACTGTATAATTGAGGCTACCAGAGGGGGAGACAGAAAGTGGGGAGTAGGGAGGGGACTCAATAGACTGTATTGGAGGACAGTGGGTGCTTTGGTCACAGGTATGATGTGGTGACAGACATCTAAGGAGGTGGGAACCTGTATCTCTGAATCATGTATAGTGTAACCAATTTTATCTCAATGAAAAGAAAAATTAAAAATATTGGGAAAAAATGGAAAGAAAATAAAGTTAAGCTCTCGAAGTCACAGTCACTGAAATAATCATAAACCACATGTCAATAGTGGGTGGGTCATCTGGTGCTCCCGAATGCTTTCAGAGGAGACTATCTGGGAAGCTGGAAGGATGACTTTGAACATCTTCTCAGACCTGTTGTCTCTGACTGAAATAGGACAATTTACTGCTTATATGCAAAAGTTAGGAAGGAAACAGAACAGGGACATAATCTGTCATAAAGAAGGAAGACAGTTTATTCCTTAAAGAATAGGTATAGAGAGACAAACTACCAGTCTCCTGCTAGGGCATTTTGCAATTCAGAGGATGGCTGTAGTTGCCTTATAATGAGATTTTCAGGGAAGTGGTGTAGAGTTATTCTCTGGAACTTTACAATATTAGTCTAGCCCTCAACCAGCTTTAAAAATGATAAATCTTTGTCCCTGAAATAGCATATTTTATGTTTAATTTATTTTCTTTAGCTTGAACAAAGACTCCCTATTTATTTTTTGTGGCCCCAGGGGTTAATAATTTATTTTATTCAGCCTCAAGAAGGTCGTCTTCATTTATTTTCTGCAGATCAAGGAGGAAGCTTTTTTAGATGTAGATCAAATGGTAGCACTGACCAGATAAGCTGAGGGACAGAAGGAGGTTTTTATCTCTGTCCTTGTTATGCATTTTCTACACTTGACAGCACACATTATGTTTAATTGTGTGTTGTGATGTAGGCATCAGGGACAGTGGGACATGTCTGCTTTTTGTTTTAAAAACTCCACAGTCCTGTGCTAGACCTGGTTCTCTCCCATTTATGATGAGTTGATTGTGTGAACCCTTCCTGACTCCATGATCAATGACATCCTGTTGGTAGCTTGAAGTTGACCATAGTGGGAACATTTAAAGCAGAGAAACTGGCAAATGCCATAACTCAGGTGGTTCTTTTATTTAGAGAGCTAGTTATTAAACCAATGCACTGCTCTCTCTCTCCTTCTACATGTGAGTGTGTGTGCACATCCACTGAAATTCTGCTTCCACCAGCAGAGATTAAAGTCATAAATGGTGCATGGAGAGTTTGTTTTTTCATCAGGTTGACTAGTTACCCAGAAATATGAATGTGGAAGTGATAGAATTTAGCCATGAAGTAACCAGACTTTACTCCTCTCTTATGTCTTCAACTGGTCAACTTTTTCATTGATAAGACTTACGGAATTTTTGAGTAGTAGGCATGCAAAGTCTATCATTATATCTTATTATCCTTATTTGTTGAGCACACTGTCTCAAAACATCCATTTAGTGGAGAATCCCCAAATCAGTCTTTTTTCCTACCCTTCTGTCTCCCCATCTTCCTCCTGGCCTCCATACCAACTTCTATAATCTCAGCAGGAAGATCAGATCTTCAGAGACTGATGAACAGTACTTGTATTTATCACCAAAACAAAATGATTTAAAGTATATTCTTTAGGGGAAAACAGAAAAACACAAAAGGCCTAAAATTAATATTTGCTTTAGAGATGTAATATTTGCCTAAAATCACTTACATTTCTTTTCCAGTTAGTATATTCAGAAGAGAGGGGTGGACCAAGTTTGATAAATGACTTAGAACCATGTCACATGAGAAAAAGTTGAAAAAAGGCATACTTATCCAGAAAACATGCTGAAGATGTGAATCCAAAGTCCTTCAAACACAACATGGTGGATATAGGATATTTATCCAAAAATTGTATCATGTATGCTGAGAAATAGGGACAATAATTAGGAATGTTTACCTGGCTATTACAAATAAGTGGGTTTTAACATAATTTAATACTTGTCTGTGAGGTGGGTACTTTGACTTTCGAAGCTCTTGGGTAATGAGTGACTTGCCTACAGTTATGCAACTAATTAGTGGCATAAGCAGACTTCTAACCCAAATGCTCTGGCTCTTTCTCTTCTTGGTGCTACATAACTTTCCCTATCTACCTCACAGAACTGGAAGGAGCATATGAGATATGAATATAGAATTCCAAAATTTTGGCAAGTGCTTAGTAATATTTTCCCATTAAGAAAAATTAAGTTAATATATACATTGGTTATCTTTGTTCAAATCTAAAAAGAAATCAGAACAACATAATTGCAGAAGGATTTGAATAAATTGAAAAATTTTGTAGGAATTGCATAATTTAAATCGATGGGTAAATGATCACTACAAAGCATTCCTGCCAAGACTTGATTGCATTTGTAAGGCTTCTGTGCAGCTCTTGTGGCATAGAAATTTTTAGGAGTGTAAAGAAAAACTACTAGAGTATCAGAGGGAGAAAACAAAAGTCCACAAGCAGTTAAACAGTGCTGTAAAACTGAGGCACAAAAGATTGAACTTGGAGCAGCTGGCCAATGTCCATAAAAAGTGAGTCGTTGGAAGTCTGCCTATCGTGTTGGAAGGCAGGGCACAGATGATTCGTTCGGATAGTGAAGACGTTTCAGGGAAGAATTGGTACATCTGGTGTCAATGATTGGCATCTGTGTCTCTCAATACCAGTATACTGCTCGCTATGGTGTTGATACTCAGTGAGTGCCTACAAAAAGAGGGAAAATTAAAAAAAAAAGTGATTATATTGCCAAGCCATTTTTGATTGAGGTTTTACAAAGTATGAGTTTCCAAGTCTTGGTAATTAGTATTTCACCAACACTAAATTTATAAATTTATAAATTTGAACATCTTATATAAAACACTGAGGTAACTCTTCAGATTAATCATGTATAAATGTTTCTTGTGTCCTGGATGGATTTTTCTCAATTTGATTTTTGTATTAGCTAAAAAATTTTAATGTGTACCCACAGAAAGTCACTTTGATAAAGATAGATTTCCTGTGGTATAGTTAAACCCTAGCCAAATATAATCCTGTCTTTTACAAACCTTAAAATTCTTGCATGTTTTTCACTCTTTCAAAATATATGTTCTACCAATCATGCTCATCCAATTCCTCCCGAATTTAGCTTTATTCATGACAAAATTTGCTATTATATTTTGTATAAATGTTTCTTTTATTATATTTTGAAATTTAATTACATCATGAATACTTGCTTGTTTTTTTAAAGATTTATTTATTTATGCATACAAGAACGGGGGTACAGGCCAAAGGCGTGGGGGGTAAGAGGATTCACCAGAGACAGAGTGGGGAACAGAACAGGCAGATTGACTGAAATTCACTGTTGAGGGGAGCAGTGGGTGAGTCAGGAGAGGTCTGCTGTGCCATATGGGTATCTCCTCGGCTGGGGATTGAACTTGTGCAGCAATGGCTGTGGATAGCTTCATAGGTTGCATCTTAACCCCTTGCACTACCAGGGAGGCCCGAATATTTGCTTGTTAATGGAAAAATGAACACAGAAAATCTCTTTCTAATGCCAGTCATGTATTTCATATTGAAGAGTCACTTCCGACTCTCACATTTATTTACTGGGACAACAAATTTATATGATTTTGTATTAGCATTTATATTTTAAAATATTTGATAACATGGTTTCTACAAAAATTCTATGCACTTGTACAACAATACAAATTAATATATTATTAAAAGCACACAAAGGTGTAAAGTTAATGAGGGTGATTTGAATTCATGGTTTTTTTCTGCTGCCTTCTGAAATTCCACCAAAGTAACAGCTAATAAAAAGCATCAGTACACGGGAACAAAAGAGAGGACAGGAAACATCAGCAACAAACTTTTGGAACAAGACAGCAGGTAGACAGACAGATGAAGACTGAATCTGTCAACTTGAGAAAACAGAAATATAAGTTGGCATTACTTGATGTTCATTAGCAAATTAATTTGCTTTGTGAAACCTCATAATGGAACTCGAAGGCACTGGGGACCACTGAAAGTGAGGATAAAGGTGGTGTGTAATAAAAAGCAGTTCAAATTGAGAGTTTTTTAAAAGATGTATTTAACTGCTAGATTCCCTCCCAGTTATTGACTCTCACCAATGCTGGCAAAGAACTGAGGGTTTAATCTGTAAAACTTCAGAGACTCTAGGAACATAGGAATCTAAGCATAATTGAAGGCAGGGATAATATATTAAATACAAGGGATAATGTATTAAATACAAGGAATTTCAGAATACTAGAAAGCCAACATTACATGTGCAGAAAGGCTATTGAGGCTCTTCCTTGAGGAATCTCACCAACTTCAGAGAAAAATACTTGAAGGTCACCCTAGAGTAAACCCCAAATCAACTAGCCCAGCTGGTAATCACAAGCTTCTAAAGGCCTTTTATTGTTTCCAATTTTGTGCCAGATTATTCAACATGAACAGGTAGCCAGCGGTCACATCCTTAGACATCTGAAGAAGTCTTTAACATGGAAGACAAAAACAAACAAACAAACTGTGAACAAGAGCAACAGCAATAACTAGAATTCTAAAAATCATTAATATCTTCAGAAGGAGAAAAGATTTTGCTTCATGAAGCAAGAAAAAGCATACTATAAAAAGTAGTTTTCACAGAACAGAAAAAGAGACATGGTAAATTTAAAATATGATAGCAAAAAATGAAAAAGTCAATCTATATCTTGGCTGATAAAGTTAAGGAAATCTCCCAGAAGGTAAGATGAAAAGACAGAGATCTAAAGTAATAAAAAAACATATAAAGAAAAAGATCAGACTGAGTGTATTCACATCCAGAAAAAAAAAATAAAAAAGAGAAAATAGTAGAAATGGCTTGGAAGAAATTAGAAGCATTTAAAAAAGTTAAGTTCTAAATATCATGTCTTCTGATTAAAATAGATAATCGATTTTTTAAATTGTCTGAACAAAGGGTGAAAAATATGTTTAAGGCACATCATCTCAAATTTCAAAAATCTGGGGACAAAAATAGAAGAAAGAAAAGCTTCCAGAAAGAAAAACAAAACATGGTAAACCAAGAGCAATGAGTAAAAAGAGGAATCAAAATTAATTTGAAATTCTCAACAGCAAAGTCTCTGATATTCTGTCATATAGGTAGATTCCAAAACTGATTACAAGCTGCTTAGATTTATATATTTATTTTTTAATATTTATTCTCCTCAGGGTTCACAGAGTTTCATGGATTTGTATGTTGCTATTTTTTTCCCCACTTTGTGGGATTTTTCAGTCATTATTTCTACAGGTATTTCTTTCTGCCTCTTTATTTCTCCTGTTCTCAAGGACTGCTTGGTTTCGATGGAGGAAAAAACCCTCAGGCCTCCTTCATGGGTTTAGCAGCATAGTAGTTGATATGGTTGAAAATAAACTGCTGATGTCTAAGAGAGAGTGCTGCAAGGTGATGGTTAGGGGAATCTCCCCAGTGGGCAGAGCTTCACCAAGTAGATTGGGACACCAACTTAATGTAGAGAAGAGTAGATAGAAATGAGTACATGCACAGACTCCGTGGCAATGGTAAATACTTGTCTGGTTAGGCAGGGACTTAGAAGGAACAGAATTAGAAGATCAGGCTTAGTGAAGTCTGGGGAAAAGCATGTGTATGAATCTGTGGACATCTATGGAATGGATAGTTACTGATAATACATAAATACCTATCAGAGAGATACACCTGGAGTGCAACATCTAACACCCAGGTAGATAGACTAGTTGGTCACCCCAGTGTTTGCACAGTAAGTCTACAAGTAGAATAGCTATGTTTTCAAGGTTAAAGCTTATTTATGGACAACAGCTTGATCTCTACTCACTGAGACTGATGGAGCTATTTGACTCTGTGTGCATAGAATTATATCATCCATTGATGAGAAATAGCCTTTTGATATCAAGTTGATTGGAATAAAATGCTTCCAAACTCCTGTTGACAGCAGTTATCCTCAGTAGAATTGATACATATTCTAGGAATAAGTTTCCCATTCCTATTTGCAGTGTCTCTACTCACTGTTGAAAGACTCAGAGGATAGCTGTTTTACTGATGTAGGATCTCACATAATGTTTCCATGACAACTGACCCACCTCATCACTAAGGCATGGCAGAGGATATATGGCCATAGCATCCCACTAGTCCTGCCTCATACTGTAACACCTTGAAGCTGCCAGCCTGAAAGAAAAGTGTGCTGAAATGCACAGCCTTGTGAGGCTGGCGCGCTGACGTTCAAGATGCAGTATTTCCTTTGAATCAATACATTGTGCACTTCTGTGCTCTGGAGACTTAGGAGTGGCTCCTTTCAGTATCACTCTCAGCGACCCTCTTGACTGAATTGTGCCTCATCTTCTCATGAGTGTGGCTCATCAAAGGTCATGGTCCTGGAATGACATTCTATTAGGGTGACAGTAAGGATTTCACTAGACATATACTATATACATCCCACCGGGTCAGTCAGGGTTTCTCATTTCAGTGTATTAGCAGTAAATTATTGGTGTTACTCTCTCAGTAGAAGCAATTGACCTGATTATAAAGAGGAGGAAAGGTTGAGGCCTCACAGAATCAGCAGGGAGAAATATAACTGGAACTTAGAGATTTACTTTGGCTACTTGTTGATGCTTCAATGCTCACTGGTAACCATGAATAGGAAGTTGAAGTAAATAAACATAACAAGTGCTCAGTTAGAGATTCAGGCTGATTTGGAACAATCTATGTAACCTCATTGGGCAAGTACCCTAGACCAACTACAGGGAATCCTATAATGAGCAGGAGAGAAAAGAGGCAGTAAATATCAGCATTGCCTCAAGACTAAAGAGCGCAGTGGAGACTCACTTATCCAGTCTCCTTTTACAAGGCTTCCTTTTCAGAAATTGGAACTAGCCCACCTTAAAGAATTGGTCACAGGACAGAGTGGCCCTCACAAGGGACATGTGTGGATCTGAACAGTGCACGGTGCTGTCTGTAGCAGAAGCTAAGGTGCTGGCTCATGTCCCACCATTTTCTGACCATTTCAGGGCACAGGAGTCCAACCTCCAAATGTCTTCTCTAAGCACCTGCATGTCTTCTCCCAGGGCTTCCTCTCCTATTAGAGGGGATTCCTAAGCCCCATAGTTTGTTTTTTTTGACCTAATAACATTGCCAAAATACTCTGCTATATTTTTCTGCCAATAGTCACCTCCAACTCTTTGCTCCCCACTTCTCACCAGCCAATGACTCCAGTAGAGAAGTAGCTGCCTGATATTACTACTTTTTTGCTGCAATTTTCCATTCTCTGGAATGTCTCTGCATATCCTGGTAATATCAGCAACTCCCCAGTGCCTTTATACAGATATTCACACTTTATTGGATGTGTCTATTCATTGTTATTAGAGCAGTGTGCCATCACAAGCTACTTTATTATAGCTAGAAGCCTATTCATCAAATAATTATATTTTATAATTCTAGAAATTCTGTTTGTTTCTTATTCAAATTTGCTTGTTAATCATTTTTTGTTTGCTGTTTACTGCAGCTTTTTCAAGCTTGTTTTACATTTGTTTCAACATGTAATACAAGGCTATTTAGTAGTCTTCATATGTGAATTCTAGTATCTAAATTCATATACAGATTTTAGGATTTTAATATTCTCTTTCTTGCACATGGTGTTTTGTTTCCTTGTGTGCTCAGTAATTTTTTTTTTTTTAAATATCAATGGCTCACTTTCCTTGGAAGATTATTTATCTGAGCATTTTTTGAAATCTCAATTTAAGGTACATTCTTCCAGAAAGAATTTGCTTTTGTTTTAGCCAAGTTCTTAGAACATAACCAGTCTAGACAGCACTTTAACAAGTTCCTGGTCTGAAGTTTTTTGGAACATATGAGTAGAATGAACTTGACTGGACATCCTCATGAGGCCCCAGCTTGTGCTTGCTGTGCCTGGGAACTCTCCTTGCTGGGGGAAAACCTGTGACATTCTGAGCTCCTGAGGAAGTAGCACTCTGGAGTCTCATTTTTAGAGTGGAGGATTCTCCTTTTATACTTGAGTTGTTTTTTTCTGTTATCCATCGTCTCTTAACCTTGAGTCTTAGAATCACATCGCTCAAATTTGACAAATAACTTTAGGCTAAAAGTAACCTGTGAGGGATCTCTCAGTTTTCACTTTCATAAATAGTTTGGTGTAATAAACTACTTATTACTAGTCCTTGTATGTTTTTAAAAAGATTTTTAAAAATATGTAATTTAGCATTTTAACTTGTTTTCTTTAAGAAGGTAGAATCAGATTTTTGAATCAGTCCTAATACCCTAATAAAAATATACTCACTTTAAAAGAAAATTTTGAAGTTCATAGTATAACCTCCATTTTGTTAACCCTAATGAAAAGAAAAAAAATAAAACTTAGGTCAGTAATTGACTGAGTCAAATTGCCATGGTAGCATTCACTATTGCTTTAAATCCTTTTGGTTCATTATTCATTCAGTGACCCCACTCATGTTTCTCTATTTTTTTTTTTTTTCATCGAGACACATTCTAAGAAGATATGAGAATTAGAACACTGTTCTTTTAGTTGACCTGATTCACCTAATTGATTTGGGTTTTAAACCTTGATACACTGAGCCTAAGCATATAACATCAAATCTTTTGAATACACATTTCTTTCTTAACATGAACATGAAAATGTCTTCCCAAAGCTTTACTGAAGAATATATTGGAAAACTCATTCATTCACAAACATTTATTGGGTGGTGACATTAGCCCCTGATATGGATGACTTAACTGAACCACTGGCTCTTGGGTTTCAAGTCTGATGAACTTTGGACAGGAGCTGCACCACTGGCCATGCTGGTTCCCTGGCCGGTGGACTCAGAATATAACTAAACAGCCCTGTCTCCTGCATTGCTACCTTGCCACTCGCCTGCAGATCATGTCTCTATAATTGTGTGAGTCTCCTTCTCTATCATATACATCTTATTGCTTCTTTTGCTTTGTAGAACTTGGACTAACATAGGCCCTGAGCTAAACATGGGGGCTATGCAGATTCTGGAGACACAGGGCCTACTGACAAGTAATGTGCCATTTAATGATTTAATGCGTTTATGGGAAAGTTTTTGTCACCTAATGATTGGTCATAAATGTTAGTTTTCTTTTTCTTAAGAATGCTAATTAAATGGGAAATGGAGAATCATTAAAATATTAAAGGCAGAATTGATATTATTTCTCTTAACATTTATTTATAAGATATATGTCTGTAGATTTCTAAATATTATGTAGAAGAAAAAATGGGGGAGCATCAGTCATCAAAGAATTGCAAAAAAATGTGGCCTCCCAGGCCAGATACCAATGGACTGAGCAAAATGAGGCAGAATGGCACTGAGTTCTATGCAAAGTAATGTATGTATGGAGACATGTAATGAGACAAGATAATGCTTAGCTAAAGAAAGTGAGAAGGGAAAATCAGTTTCTTAAATGCAACAACTGTAGCAACAAAATAGTCTATCCATGGAATCCATTCATATAACGTTGCAAAAACAAAGCAGTGTCCCTGTATTCCTTTAATCTGAATAATGCTGGTTATTAGAGAAGGTTTTCTGAGAGGACTGAGAAGACTACATATCTTGATCTGTAATTTTGAAAGAGAGACTTACTCCCTTAGACCTTTGTTTGGGAGTTTCCCTAAAAGCTACTCTGGTAGTGTAGTCTTTTCAATTGTGTTATTAATTCTCATATATTTAATTTCCATTTTCCAGCTGAATGGCCTTCATTTCCTGTGTATATTCTATTTTCTTTGTTCATATGAGACATTATTTTAAGGACATTTTACTCTGTTCTATAAAAGCAATTAGGGAAAAATTATTTCCAAATAGTAGCAAACAACAGGTTTGTATTTCATTCAACTCAACATTTAGAGCCATCTCCCAGCTATGCAATGAAAGAAAGTAAATGCTGCAGTAAAGAGAAACAGCTGTTTCTTCCAACATTATGCATCTTAAAAATCCCTGCTTGTGAATTAAATGTAATCATCTCCTTTATTTCCAAAGGTAGGGGAGATCAGCTCCACATAATGATAATCAGAAATAAAGGTGACTAACAGTCTCCTTCAAACAATAGGAATATATACGTGACCCACAGTTTCCTACTTCTTAATTCTGGTTACAGTAACAGTAATACTGTTTCAAATGAGGATCTCAGATTTTGAAAAGTTTTTCCGTAGGATGTTAGAACCAAAGAATAGGTTTAAATTGTCAAATTGCAATTGATATTGCAAGTAAGTTTAACAATAGGGAAATCAATTTGTGTCAAAGCAACTTAGGCCACTAGTGAGTACCATTTTCTCCATCTGTCCACCAAATAGGATTGAACCTCTTCCAAACAGCTGTTCAAATTTGCATGCACTCACAGAATTGCCCTAAGTATGTAATTTGACTGACCTTAATACTGTGTCTTACCAAGTGAGTGTTCATGAAAATATGTGTCTGCATTTGGCCTTCTTTTAAATATTTGTGCCTTTTTTCTACTTTTGCAACTTGTGATGATATCCTCATTCTTTTATATATGTGTTTTTTTTAATTTACTATCATTTTTAACTTAGACTTATTCATTTTTAACTAGTCCCACTTTTGGAACCCCTACTCAGAATGGCCTAGGCTAAACCACTTATTAGATGAAAAAATATATAAATATATATATATATATATATTTCTTCAACTAAAAGGACAAATTCAAGTTGCCTGATGCAAAAGCTGGCATATTAGCTTCTTGGAATGTTTACACAAAGCCCATAGCCTCAATTCTAGACTTTATGGAAAACCCATAGGAAACCACCTTACCCTAGCTAAATATTGCCTGTTGGGTCCCCCTCTATGTTTGGGGTGGGGAGCTCACTCTCTCGATGGGGGATAACATATGAAGACATGAATCTGAAACCATAAAACAAAAGATCTAGAATATTAAGAAGAGAGGGGCAAGGCAGGAGAGTTCAAGCAGAACTTGAAGATACAAAACTTCTGTATCTCCCATCAGCCCATCAATCAAATTTGTACCCATTAGATCCTTGGAAAGGGTCTTGAGTGCTTCAGCACTTGCAGTTGTGAAGTTGCAAATGATTCGGTTCGAGGAGCAAGAAAAAATTATTTTAGAGACAGTTTATATTGGATAAACAATATTGTGAGGTTTGTTAAATAAATCAACATATTTGTATTAGTAGTAGACTATTTAAGCAAAATAAATCAATATGTTTATGCTAGTTGTAGGAAATTTGAGTGGAAAGCATAAAAATTTAATGGCTATACTGATGACTTTGAAATGCTATTCTCCAGCACAGATACCTTTCCTCTCACAAAGAAAAATTAGGCAGAGTTATACAGGCAAGAAAGATTACATTCAAGACTTGCAGTAGGCCATTGGTGCCTGCTAATTGGCAATGGTCAAAGTTAGACTTTACTCTCCCACAGAAACTAAAACAGGGAGGTACTATCTTTCGGGATTATTGCATTTCAAAAGGATGACTCCCAGGTCTGGAGAAGGATATTTATAACAGAGGACTGGGAGAAAGTTTACATTTCTAAGGGGCAGAACAAGAATTTACAATGGCAAGTTTTCTAAAGTTAAGGCTCTAAGAAAAGGAAGTGTATAATATGGAAGAATCCTGTCTCAAGTATACTCAATCTGGGAAAACATTAAGTCCATTTTAACTAATCCTGGATTATAATTGCCACTCAACATTTCCACTGGATGTTTAACTGGTACCTAAAATTTATTTAGGTGTCCAAAAATGATTTCCAAATCTTCCTCCGCAAAACTGTTCCTCTTGTAGTCACCCATCCTCAGTAAATGATACATCCCAGTAAAATCTTAAGACTCTTCTACTCTACACTTAGAGAGTATCCAGAATCCAACAATATCTCTCTATGTCCACTATACGCACACAAGTTGTTTTTTCCCTAAATTTATGTAATTGTTCTCTTAACATCATTGTTCACTTCTGTATAGTACTTGATTTCTCCCCTCAGATGTAGCCCCCAAGGTTCTCCAACCACCTTATCACCCGTGAACCATGACTGTAATCCCTTGTGCTCTTCCCTTCGCTTTCCTAACCCCTCCCATACTGTATGTCTCATATCTATGCTCAGCTTCCAAATTTCATCTTTTTATTAACCTTTTGTTCAGTGTCTCTATATTCCACATGTAAGCAAACCATCTGATATTCACATGGCATGAACACAGATAGTAAAACAGGAAATGCATGTTCTCTCTGCTTCAATCTTGCCCCTCTCCCATTCCCTGATCCCTGAGTAATCTTTGACAGTGTAAGTCTCATATGTTACCATGTTACCGCTTTGCTCAAAACTTCTAATGACTTCCATCTCACTCAAGATATGCTCCAAAATTCTTATAGTGGCCTCCGAGTCCCTGCTTCATCTCACCCCACATTATCTTTCTGATCTCTGGGACTTTCATTCCCCTTTGCTTGTTCCAGCCACACTGACCTTCTTCCTTTTCTGGGAACACTCCAGGACCTAAGTCATACTCTCCCAGAGCATCCTGATGGTTTTCTTCCTCGCCTCCTTTAGTTATCTACTCAAATATGCCTTTCTCACAGAGAGTTTTCATACCATACTACCTAAACTGTGGCCCTTTGACACTTTTCTTTATCTGCTCCCTTTCTTTATTTTCTCTCGCACCAGTCATCATCTAGAATTCCACATGCTACGTTTATCCTATTTAATATTTGTCTCCCTTAATTAGACTCTATACTCCCTTGACTGGCTAACATAATGCCTGACATATGTTAGATGCTCTGTAAATAATTATTGAATGTTGAATGAATTGCTGTCTCTAAAATACACACACACATACACATACTCTCAATCCAAATGTGTCACTTCAGCATCATCTGTACTTCCTTCCAAAATTCTAACTTGTGTCATTTCCCAGGAGAGTTTCAGTTAGATTTCGCCAATAAGAGGCACTCAAACAAGATTTGGAGGACAAGTCCTCCTCTGGCTGTGGTGGAGGAACAGGTGGGGACAAAGCAGGTGTGAGGTTGGACTCTTCCTGGACCTCCTGCAACTCATCCCTTTCAGAACCTAGTGGAGCATCCTTTTTCTCCTGAAAACCAGGGGCTGTATTCTCTGACCTGTAACCCTTTGGCTCTTTCAGTAGGTTGGAAAACCCCAACCCTTTTGTTAAGCCTCTTCTGATTAATGTTTGTTTTCCTGGCCAAACTATGATTAATCCAACAAACTTACAAATATGAATGCTTCAACACATATACACAGAAAAATACACAATTTGTAACAATATCTTCAGCAACAATAAATGAGTCTCTGTCCCCAGACTAAACTTCCCTTCTGACTCTTATTTCTATCATCTA